ACAATAATAACGTAGTTACTGTAACGCGTTAATTAATAACGCGTTAGTCCCAACACTGTGTTTGGCACATACATTAAACCTGTTGATAAGAGATTCCCTGAAGGTGGTGAAAACAACCGTGGACAAGGTAAAGGCTAATGTGGAGTTGTTCCACAGAAGCACAGTAGCTGCAAAGAGGCTAAAGTCCACACAGCGCCAGATGGAGTTAACTGAACTGAGGCATTCTTGAAACAAAAGATGCCAGTATCTCCACCATGGCCCTGATCAGTGCACCTGTTGATACGTTAAGTCAAGAGGAATGGGAGCTGGTGAAAGACGTCTGCACCGTCCTGCAACCATTTGAGGAAGTGACCGTTGAGATAAGTACAGACAGGTACCTTGCACAGTTGTTTTTTTCTCTACTACTATTCAGTCACTAATATACATTGCAGAAACAACACATATGATTGACAAAACTAAATTGAAAAATTAAATATGCCACATAATTAAAAAACAAAACTAATTTTAAAAGTTGCTGTTTTCTCTCCTTCAGCTATATCACAGCCTCCAAAATGCTCCTGCTTAGCAAAGGTCTTCAGCCAGTGACAGCCCAACACCAACTGACAGCAACCGTGCAGAAAGTAAAGGAATTGGTTGCGGATCTTTGTTCAACCATGGATCGAAAATATCTGCGTATGGACTTCAACACTGTCCTCTCAGAAACTGCATTACTGGATCCTAGGTTTAAAAAGCTTCCATTCAGAAATGAAAGAGCTACAGGAGATGCTACAAAGAGAAATACTACATGTTACGACCCGTCTAGGGCCAGGCAATAACATGAGTGAGGCACTCGCTTCCCCCCCCCAAAGACCCAAGCAGCCACAGGAAACAAATCCGTTCGTTATAATGTGCTTTATTTACAATGTGGAAAAAAAAGAACAACAAAACAGGAGTGTCAACACTTCAGGGTGAGCCAAGGCCAAAATAATAAACAAAACAAATCTACACAAATCCCGCACCCCTGACCTCACCAAAACAAAGTCAAAAATAAAGACAGAGTCTGACCTCCTTAACCAATTCAAAACAGGAGAAAACAGGTGATCAAAAGAAACGGCAGCTCACCCCTACCCACTCCACTTCCACAACTTTTAAGCCGCACTGCAGCCAGCGGCTGCCACAGGTCATGAGGAGAAACGCAAGGACCTCTCCCGGCATAGCACTCCAGCCTCCTTTTAATGGGCGGGTCCTCCAGCTGGAACCAGTCACATAGGGGCGGTGTATCCACACACCAATCAGAGCAGGGCCCTGGCACAGCTGAATTAACATAAAAAGATATATCACCTGCACAAAACAAACACATGACCATGCAAGTTCGTAACATACAGCTGACGTTATAATGGAGATGCGATCTTGAGTACCCCTTCATCCAATGTGGAGAAGACCCGCTGAGTTGGTGGCAGGCCAAGGCCACAGTCTTTCCATGCCTGGTGAAGGTGATAGAGGGGAGACTGTGCATAGTGGCAACATCTGTTCCTTTGGAGAGAGTCTTCTCAAAAACAGGGCAGATACTAACTGACATGGTCCAGGTGAGTGCCGGACTTTTCCATTGTGTCCACCTCTGGGTGAAGTGAGTAATGTGAGTAATTTGGCTGCCGGCTTTTAAGACCAGACTAACAATGGCTAGCAGATGATCTGGCTAGGAGTGATTGTGAGTGCTCTGCTGTCGTAGTTAATTTAACGTATCGTAGTATTGCTCGTACTCACCTGTTTACCCTCTCTGCTCACAGTAATTCTCCAGACGCCATTTTCCATCCTGCCATAACTAACCTCTGTTCAGGTGCTGGTCTGTTCAGCAGCTTCACCTCTTTACTCACTTGCCTGCCTCCCTGCCCTGCTTCCTGCAAACACTTGAATCTCTGCTCTGGACATATATCACTAACGGCTCACCCAGACCACTTACTCTTCCACGCTTCACCTCTGCCTGCGACAAGTAAGACTCTTTACAATTTGACTGTTCACTCTGGATCTAACGCCTGGAATCCCACTTGACACCTTTCTCTCTTGTTTCAGTGACTCCGAGAATCCTGGCACCATTCCCCTGTCTAGCCTTCCCCTTTAGTCCCACACCACAGGGTTCCTGTACTGGCTGTTACCCCTGGCTCCTGCTTACACCAGCCTAAGGGTTTGTTCTCTGGGCTCTCTCATAGCATGCAGTGTGTTCACAGCTCATAGTTCATAGTTGTATGTTTTTATGATAACATTCACGATGCTGTTCTAGCTAATTATACATCATAGTATTGTTCTAGTTGGCTTTATTGACTTTCAGTCATAGTTCATAGTTTAACTCACCAAGCTCCTAAGTGCATAGTTTTGGGAAACATTCGGTTGCACATTTTCACTCCTTGTAAATAAAGTCTTGCTAACACTTATTCTCCATGCCTCTGAGTGCTGTCTGCACTTGAGTCCATTCTCCTGGGTTGGCCACTTGGCTGTGACACTAGCTGAGAGACAAACAACATCAGCCAGAAGAGCCAGCTCTCTGAAAAGAGCCAAACTTCCCATAACTAGTCTTCTCTGCCCAAAGTTGTGAAAAACCCTTCTGCATAGTGCATGCATAGTAGCCTACCTTTGGTAGCAAACCTGACAAGGTTGTTTTTACTCTGCAGTTGGACTGGCACCTGTTGTTTTGCAGACTTTTGTACTCACTTTGGCCTTAAAACTTTCAAAGGGCCCCAATTAAAAATGATGGATGAAAAGGTCTGGGAATAGCACCCGGAAAGTTGTGTAACACAAGTGTCGGTAGGATTGAAGACTGCCTGGGGAAAAGTATTGACAAACATATTACATCCATAATTGGGGTAATATTAACATTTGTAGAGTTGAGAAAATACTTATTAGTTCAAATTTAATATGGACCAAGTAAAAGACAAGGAAGGGAAAGTTGCTCAGCAGCTGGACGAGGGGTTGTGGACTCCTAAAAGGAGTGTCAGATTTGCCCCGACCAGCTTTTTTCCAGTCTGTCACTTTGTGAGTCTCTGATGTTTGTGCTTTAAGGACACTTTCCTGCCTTTAGTCCTATTCATGAGCATTATTAATTGTCTTCTAACATCCAGAAGTCTGCATGTGTTTCGTAGTTT